AGGCAGCGCAGTCCTAACAATCTGCGTACTGTCCCTATGTCCTCTACTACTTTACTCTCTATTCCAACTGGTCTCTGGAAGTGCCAGTCTACTGTAAGCAAAGCAGACTTTATTTCATCTATTGCTACTCTTCCATGTCTAAACCTCATGGCCCTAACTGAGACCTGGATCAAACCTGAGGACACTGCCACTCCTGCAGCCCTCTCCACTAATTTCACTTTTTCCCACACCCCTCGCCCGATTGGGAGGGGTGGAGGCACTGGTCTGCTTATCTCAAATGAATGGACATTTGATCCTTTACCATCTCTAACTGGCAACAGTTCATTTGAATCAAACGCATTTACTATTACCAGGGCCAGCCTTAGATGACGCAGGGCCCGGTGCGAAGTAGGGAGCGTGGCCCCCCTCGGTCCGTTCGTGATCGCTTTCTGGGGGTGGGGGGGGGCGGTTCCCCCTCGGTCTGTTCACGACTGCGTTCCGGGGGGGATCCCCCTTGGTCCATTGGCGATCGCGTTTCTGGGGGGGGGTCCCCTCGGTCCATTCGCCGCGGGGCCCGGTGCGACCACACCAGTTGCACCCCCCTAAGGACGGCCCTGACTATTACCCACCCGGTTAAAATCCACTTTGTAGTTGTTTATCGTCCCCCAGGTCAACTAGGTAATTTATTGGAGGAGTTGGATGTTACACTCTAACTTCACTGAGGACAATACCGCTCTGGTACTACTTGGTGACTTCAACATCCACCTATAAAAACCCCAGGCTGCTGACTTCAACACTCTGCTTGCCTCATTTGACCTCAAGCGAGTGTCTAATACAGCTAATCACAAATCAGGTAACCAATTGGACCTTATCTACAGACGCTATTGCGCCACTGACAACACTTAAGTTATTCTGTTGCACACCTCAGACCATTTCCTCATCACTTTTACTTTTAACCTCAAACTGACTCCTGACACAATACACACTCCTCCGCAGGTCACATTTCGGCGTAACCTATGCTCACTCTCTACCTCTTACCTATCCTCTATGGTTTCATCCTCACTTCCTCCACCCTCCCAGTTTTCAGCACCGGACACTAACACTGCTACTGACAATCTTTGCTCCACTCTAACATCTTGCTTAGACAACTTTTGCCCCCTTTCATCCAGACCAGCACGCACCACCCCCTCTGCCCCCTGGCTGTCCGATGTTCTCTGTGAACATCGCTCTAGGCTCAGGGCTGCAGAGAGGAAGTGGCGCAAATCAAAAAACTCTACTGACCTTAGTTCGTATCAATCACTCCTCTCTTCCTTCTTTGCAAATGTCTCCACTGCAAAAACGACATACTACCACAACAAAATTAACATTATCGTTCTGACTCTCGCACACTTTTTAAAACCTTCTCTTCTCTGTCCTCCTTCATCAACTCTTAGAGCTGACAACTTTGCAATATTCTTCATAAATAAAACAATCATCAGCACACAATTCTCCACACCACAAACTGACAAACACATCATAACTACAAATACACACTCTCTCTCATTCTTCTCTTCACTCTTGGAGGAAGATATTTCCAAACTTATCCTTTCCAATCATCTTACTACCTGTTCGCTTGATCCTATCCCCACTCACCTCCTTCAGGCCATTTCTTCTTCAGTTATACATGCACTCACTCACATTATCAACAACTCTCTTCACACTGATACTTTTCCCACAGCATTTAGGCAGGCTCGGATATAGGGTTGGGCGATGTCTACAAAATTGGCATCGGACGATGTCTACAGTGAAACATCGCGATGGACGATGACATCGGGTGGCGGGGGGCAGGGGGGGGTGCCCGAAGCGTGAATCCGTATTCAGAAAGGCACGGAAAACAAATAACGATTGCTAACGGTTGCCTGTTAAATTACAGTAGCTACATAAAATTTCACTTTCTGTTTATTTCACCACATAAACAGAGTTAGGAGAGACTGAGGACGATGGCGAATGATTTGCAAAATGTGTGGTAAGTACTGCCGCTAACAGAGTACGTGCAATCGCGAATCTCGAAAGTGAAAGTGAAACTAAAAAGAGATTGCGCATTCAAAAGCAGTTTCAATGCCAGGCATTATAGCGGCTCCCTGGTGCCCGCAATTTATATACAGTATAATTGCCCAATGATATACAGGTAACTGCGAGAGAAAATATTGAAATATATATTTTCCTCCCATCTCGTATTTATTCCCTTTAGGGGTTCCGTAGTACACGTCATTTTCTTTCCGAACACGGTATTGGGATGCGGCGGATTGCGGGGGGGTGGGGGAAGCACGATGCTGGCTCAACATCGTGATGTCTATCAGCCATAGGCGATGGACGATGGCATCGTCTATCGGCCCAACCCTACTCGGATAACCCCACTGCTTAAGAAACTCTCTCTAAATCCAGCACTTTTAGAAAACTACAGACCGGTATCACTTCTTCCATTCATTGCTAAGACACTTGAGCGAGTTGTGTTCAACCAACTCTCAATGTTTCTCACACAGAACAACCTCCTGGACAACAACCAATCTGGCTTCAAAAGTGGCCACTCAACTGAGACTGCCCTGCTCTCGGTTACTGAAGCCCTGAGACTGGCAAGAGCAGCTTCCAAATCCTCAGTACTAATCTTGCTGGATCTGTCTGCTGCTTTTGACACGGTTAACCTCCAGACCCTCCTGTCCACCCTCATGAAAATGGGCATCTCAGGAATCGCACTCCAGTGGTTCAAGTCTTACCTCGCAGGTAGGTCCTTCAGGGTGTCTTAGAAGGGTAAGGTTTCTAAGTCACGACTTCTTGCTACTGGTATTCCTCAGGGCTCAGTGCTTGGACCACTTCTTTTCTTCATCTACATGTCATCATTAGGATCTTTCATTCAGAAACATGGATTTTCCTATCACTGCTATGCTGATGACACTCAACTCTACTTCTCATTCCAACCAGATGATCCGACGGTAGCTGTTTGCATTGCAGCCTGTCTACAAGACATTTCTGGCTGGATGAATGACCATCACCTTCAACTCAGCCTTGCTAAGACAGAACTGCTCGTGGTCTCAGCCAACCCAGCACTTCATCACAACTTCTCTATACAGCTATGTTTGTCAATCATAACTCCTTCCAGGACAGCCAGGAACCTTGGAGTTGTGATTGATGATCAGCTAAGCTTCACAGACTATATTGCTACAACGGCCTGGTCCTGCAGATTTGCCTTATACAACATTAGGAAGATTAGACCCTTCCTATCAGAGCAGGCTACACAACTCCTTGTCCAAGCTCTTGTTCTCTACAGACTGGACTATTGTTTTAGTCTCTTGGCGGGCCTTCCGGCATGAAATATCAAGCCTCTGCAACTGATCCAGAATGCAGCAGCGAGAGTGGTCTTCAATGAGCCAAAGAAAGCCCACGTCACACCTCTCTTCATCAGTTTGCACCGGCTGCCAATATCTGCGCGCATCAAATTCAAGGTACTGATGTTTGCCTACAAGACAACCACTAGCTCTGCACCAATATACCTAAACTTAATACCTAAACAATATACCTAAACTCCAGAAGCTTGCATTCTGCAAGGGAACGACGCCTCGTGGTGCCATCCCAAAGAGGCACAAAATCACTCTCACGGGTTTTCCTGGACTGTTCCTAGCTAGTGGAACAAACTGCCTATTTCAATTCAAGCAGCAGAGTCTTTAGTCAAAAAACAAAACAAAAAAACATCTAAAGACAACTTTTTTTTGTCAGCACCTGACCAATTAATACTAGCACTTACCTATTCTATTCTATTATTTTTTTTCTAATTTAATATAATAAAAAAAAAAAACCTTGCTATGTGTACTGTGCTAGACTAACAGACACTTGTCACAGCACTTGTATACTGTTGCCCTCTTGTTGGTCTGATTGCTTCTATTGTTCTTCTCATTTGAAAGTCGCTTTGGATAAAAGCGTCTGCTAAATGATTAAATGTAAATGTAAATGTAAATGTATGCTAATGCAGGAAGAAATCACATTTAAAGGAATAACTCACCCAAAAATGTAAATTTGCTGAAATGTATGCACTCTTAGACCATCTAAGATGTAGATGAGTTTGCTTCTTCATCACAACAGATTTGGAGAAATTTAGAATTACCTCTGTAGTGAATGGGTGCCGTCAGAATGAGAGTCCAAACGATTTTTATGTGTTTTGGCTTATTTTAATATAAATAATAATAAATAAAGTCATCTTGAGGCTCCCTTAGAACTTTGATGAGGCGCCATAGTGGGCTGCAGGCCTCAGGTTAAGAACAACTGGTGTAAATGTCTATTATGTCATTAAAATTAATCAAACAACTGTTTTAAAAAGAAGAAGAAAAAATAAACTGTACATATTTTAATTATAGACTTGCCTTTTAGTCAAACTCCAACAGCATCGGAGCGGTATTCATTTATTTGATCAAATAATCAATAGTGAAGACTATGCCAACTCTTTAAGTAAATTTCATTTAATTTCTGTGAATGTTTACTCGAATACCTGATACAGTACTGCTACTGATACAGTACTATAGATAACTGAACACCACTGTTTACTTCATTTGCATCTTTGTTTTGTTGTTTTAATTTGATCAAGTTCTTTTAATGTGATTCTTTAATCTTTATTTCATTATTGAACGTCTACTTGAGTAATTAAATGAGAATTTGTTTACTCGTTTTTAATTACTTGGGCAATGTTTACTTCATGAGAAATGCTTAAAGGCTACATTCCATTATTTTAATTTAATTTGTATATTTGTATTAACATAATTAAAGGGCGGGTTTAATAGCTTAATAGTTTTTGCTGTGGTATTAAAATTGGTATTGAGACATTTTACTGGTATTGTTTTTAATGTGCACTTGTAGCACTCTGAGCTCCATTTAACAAATATCTTCACATATTCTCCACCACAATCAGCAAAGACAAAGAAAAACAGACTGTCGGCATATGAACGTTGAATGTTACTATACTATGTTTATGGTAACAAATAGTATAGTTTGCTTACCAACATAGAGTTGGGCAGATTGTTGAATTCCATTGGCTCCGTGAAGAACTCTGTGTTGTGGTCCAATCTGCCATGGCCTCCATACTGGATTCCATCCGAGTCCAGTTTGATCTTATATCTGGAGCAGAGTGTGGTTAAGGAACCCAAAAAGATACTGGAGACAAACCTAATGAGAAGGTGAAGATAAATCAGTCACATTACAATAAACTATACTCTTTTCTTTCTTTATACGATTATGATGGACAAAGTATCAATTGAGGGATCAAATAAACACATGGATCGATCTATCCACCAAAATGTTTAGATATAATGGTCTTAAAGATATAATTCAGCCAAAAATGACCTTTCTGTTATTATTTACTTAAATCTTTATGGTGTCCACTAGATGTGAACTGGTTGTCCACTTTCTAGAGACGTTCTTCAGCTCGTCAGAATGCAGAGCTGCACAGCAAGTCAACACCACTGATTGCTTTGAGCTCCTTCAAGACAATGACACACATTTGCCCCATATAAACACGTGCACCAAAACCGATGAGCCACTACATGAACAATTCCAGGCAGAATTATTTATCCATTTCAAAATATTAATAATGTATTCCATCCAAAAATGTTTCAAACAACACCAAACGTGCACCCACACAATTTCACTCAGTCTGTGTTACACTGACTAAATTAAATATTAAAAAAAGTAATTGCCTAGACTCATGACCGGAATAAGAAATATCTTTGACAGAGAGCATAAAAGAATAATGAAGACACATTTACTGAAAACTGGAAATCTTATTTCATGCTTTTGTGTTTTAAGTTTTAAGTTATACACCCCAACAAAAATGGGGACAGATGCCTTGAAAACTCAAAGTGCTGAACATCTGGACTGCCTCATAGATTTCCATTATAAGTGCATTCATTTTATTGCATGTCACATATCACAGATGCTGTTGATAGAGATAAAGTTGAATTGAACAATAATTTAAAGACAATAAAACAATTGCACTTCCATAAAGTGTAATTTTTTTTCAAGTGAAACAACATTAAATGGAAAATAATGTAGGATAAAACTGGTTATTATTACTTCCCTTTGCCAATGTGTACAAGGCTACACCATCACAGAAGAAAGGCAAAAAAGCAGAGAAAGTGATTGCATAAAAAAAAAATATATATAAAAAAAATTATTTATAATATATATATATATATTATTGTTTTTTAAAGAAATAATGCTAAAAAAAGATGAAAAAGATGGGGGGAAAAACCCATCATGGCAGAGATTCTCAGTTGGGGAAAAACAAATAACAGAGCTATTATTCATACAATTATTTATACTTAAATAGTTATTATTATTATTATTATAATAAAGAACATAAATAAATAGGCTAAGTAAGTTTTTAAAAAAGGGAGTAGAAAACACTTAAATTATTGTGCAGAAAAACCACATGAACTTCACATGTGCAATCACGTTAAAATAATGTGAAATATGTGGTTTTGGAACATTTTCATAGGTGTAAATGTGTGATCACATGGGTTTCACACATTAACCCCTAAAATATTATATAAAATATTACATTTTTTGTGGGATGATAACAACAACAATACAATATTATTTTAATAATAATATTAATAATAATTGTATTTCCTAAATATAACATATTGACAAAATAACAATACTACTAATAAAAATAACCAAAAGAAAATCTAAAAATCTAGCAAACCTAAAAAATATAATGATGAAGATAATGATGATGATTTATTATTATTATTATTATTATTATTAGTCAATATTTGATTTTTAGGACATTTCTTTTATACTTTTGGTACTGTATTGAATCGCCACAAAATCAGGATCCTGAAGAAAAACCAGTTCAGAACCACTGCTACATATTGTACCATATGTACAATACAAAACATTTTAAAATACTAAAAAATACTAAAAACTTTAGTTATGTGACAAGCAAAAGAGTGCTGTGACTTTTGCCATTTAATTGCCATGTAAATATACAGTTTTCACCCTCAAAGTATAAGTAAACAACTGTATTCCTGTGGCACAACAAATGAAAAAGTCTCCAGTCTCTCCACTCCTGCTCCCTCTCTCTCTCTCTCTCTCTCTCTCTCTCTGTTAACCTTGGCCTCTCAGGGGTTTAAACAGTTGTGAGTTGTAACAAACATGCAGACAAGCGTCTAATTGGCTGCTTGAATAATCACCTCCTATCCCCATGGGCTGGCGGTGGGTCTTCGTGTTATCCTCAAACACTCTCTTACTCTGCCCCGGAGCTGAAGCACACTTGGCTTTTTCTGCCAGCTTGCCAGCTTTGATAGCAATGATTAAAAAGAAGTGTTGCTTGGCGTATTGTTCCTGTGCTGAGGATAACGACAGATGCCCCCCCCCTCCCGATCCTACTCCCCCATACTCGTATTTGCATTGAATTCTCTCACTGATAGAACAAACTTCCTTTGTTATGGATATTTCGGAGATGTTATTGGAAAGAGAGTGAGAAAAACAAAATGATCTGATGCCTTCTTTTTTTCTCAGAGAGAATTAATGGGGGCTAAAGCATTCAAGTTCTCCTAAAATGCAAAAAACACCAAATATTTATAAGCACAGCCAATTTTGCTAATTTACAATTCAAACATGCTAACAATAAATACTGGTTACATATCTTACACATTGGAAATGTGCCTCTAGCTACATTTCTGCAAAACTCCAAAAATGTAAGGATACATACAATTCACTGCAGTTTCCAGCTGAAATTAACACCAGTGTCAGTAAAATGGCAACAACATTTGTTCATTTTCACAGATTATGATTACAGGGGCAGATTATCAATAAGGACTTATTCCATGTACAATACTATGTTATAATCTCACAACACTTTTACCATAGTGCATGATTTGTAAACTAAAACATTTTGACATTTGCATCACTTAACCAGCTCCATATGTGTGGGTTATCTGAAGTAAATTTGCTCGGTAGCTCACCCGCTACAGCACTGTACTCGTGATAACAAGCACTCAGGTATGAGTTCCGTGAAACGTGTTACAACAGAGAAGCTCAAAGACTTGCAGAAGCAAGATAACATCACATGGTAGCATGTGTTTTCATCTCATGTTTGTTTTTGCTCACACTATCGGTTTAGGGTTTAGCGCCACTCATGGGACATTTAATTTCTGAACTGCCGCGTAACGTACAACTACCGTAATAAAACATCGCCAGATTCACGTCTTTTTTGGATATAACTGAATGCACTTTTAGGGCCACTCACTGGAGATTTCACTTTAAAAGTGTCACAAAACGTGCAAGATTCATAGTATCATTTTGTAGAAGTGTCGCCACAGGCACATGTTCCTAATGAGCTTTAGTTGGATTTTTAGCATGTAGGCTGGAACACTGAATGAAATAAAACACGACTGAACATTTTTTAGTTTTCTTTTTACTTCTATGACTGAAATATAGATACATTTAGTAAAGAGATAATCATTAGCATAATGATTCATATAATGATGATTTAGCATTTGTCTTCATCTATGGTATAAAATGAAGACACAAAAAAGAGCATATAACAAATCTATCAGTGTTTTAATGAATATTTTGTGTCCAGAGCAGAAAAATGTGACTCTAAACCTTAATGGTGGCTTAGAACACTACTGTTAAACAGTATACTGTTGGCATATGTGTTAATGTTAAATATTCACTTCACAACTGAGATTCGGCTTATTGATTAAAACGGCAGCTAATGTTTCTAACATTAAAAAAAAGTAATATTCAAAACTAGTCTTCACTTCTTCAGCTCATATACAGCATGTAATCTAGCAAGCTATTTTCATACAAAGGTCCTTTCATTTGACTTACGTTAGTGTTCCACATTGCACTGAACCCTACAAAGTGCAGCATCAAGTTGCGCACAGATCAAGCGCTGTTACGCGCTGTTCAAACAGCTTCAACTTTGACCCTGTTTGCCTGCTGTCATTTCGAAGAACAGCCACTGATTAGTGGACAATTTGCATTATGTATCATTATCATTAGCAGAAAAGCTGACAGATGGAAGGCGTCAAAGGCATACTGTGACAATCTCCCTGCTCAAATGAACCATTTAAACCAGCCTACTCTCTAAAAAATAAAGGTTATAAAAGAGGGTTTTTTACAGGGATGACTTAGAAGACTCATTTTGGGTTCCCAAAGAACCTCTCATACCCGTTTTCCACCAAGGCAGTTTGAGTGCTGGTTCGGAGCCAGAGCCTAGTTTCAAATCGGTTCTTTGTCTTTCGACACCCAAAGCACCAGCTCAGAACCAGGAAAAGTGGTTCGTAAGTAGCACCAAAACATCGCTGGTCTAGAAGTAAGAACCACATGCGTCAGGGACTGGGGTTGGGGTTACCGTGACCAACAAGACAAACAGAAACTTTTGACTGCCATTTTTGAAATAGCAGCTAAACACGAACACGTTGAATTCTCTGTGTTTGGATGCCGATGTAGGTTTGCAAAGCCATGGACATCAATAGCAATGCAACATCCACCATTGCTGATTGTGTGTTTAGGCTTGATCGGGCTGCATCGGCGCTGCACGGACCGGTCAGTGTGCCACGGGAGTGATTGGAAAGCAGACGACTCTCTTTATGCTTTTGGATCGCTTTCGCGGTGCTTTGGCGTTGTGCGCCGATCAGTCTGCATGGCGCCAATGCATCTCAAACAAGCCTGTTGTGTTTGGCGCTACTGGGAAAGATGAGACGTATTCAGTGACGTAAGACCTGGCTCTGTGGTGGCTCTCTAGCCCGTGGAAAGGCAAACCAGTTCTTAGAAGGCTCGCCAGTTGAACCAACTCCGAACCGGCAATAGCACTGGCTCTGAACTAGCACCCGGTTCATGCTGGTGGAAAAGGGGTATCAGTGAGCAGTTTTTTCTTAGTTTGAAAAACATTTTAATAATTTAAAGAACCTTTTGCAATGGAAAGGTTCCATGGATGTTAAATGTCCTTCATGGAACCATCAATGTCAATAAATAACCTTCATTGGGCCAGTCGTGGCCTAATGGTTAGAAAGTCGGACTTGTAACCCAAAGGTCGCGGGTTCAAGTCTCGGTACCAGCAGGGATTGTAGGTGGGGGGAGTGAATGACCAACGCTCTCTTCCA